AGCAAGTTGGTAACTGACTGCCTTGGCTTTCTGACATCTGGTCTTGATTTCGCTGTCTAGTTTGCTATTTTCAGTAAATATACTGCCCAGATATTTGAATTCACTGGTTTGCTTTAGCTGAGTCTCATTGATGTTCAAGTCCAGAAGGAAAGCAGTGAACAAGACCAGGCGAGACAAGATCAGGAATGAGACAATAACAGATATGGCATCAATCATACAACACATCAAACGACAGAGGATCAAGTGGTTCGGACATCTCACTCGTATGCCAATCAACCAACCAGCCCTACGAGCAAACACCCTCAGGTACTCTGACGAGAGCGAGAGGCAGACCAAGAAGACGCTGGAGCGATTCAGTGGCAGACACACTCGAAACCCACGATATATCTCTCCTCCAGGCCACTCGCCTTGCCGCTGACAGACGACTGTGTCTCCTCGCGACGCCTAACAGCACAAGCGGAACGAAAAGCACAAAACACAATTGCCATGTTTTGTCAAAGTTATTAAGCTCAAGTATTTAATGACGTAATGGGGGCAGGGGTCCACGGGTGTTTGTTTTTTTTAATGTAGGACTGACAAGAATCTTATTTCAATCATTAACTGAATAATTATGATTCATCAGAAAATTCAAACATATCTTACACAATTTTGGGTGTTAACTATTTGCTCATACCTTGGACCCTAACAGGTACTTCCACCCCGAGATAGGGTGGACCTGGGAACACCAGCAATTAAGAGATGGTTCCACGCTCCTCAAAACCTCCTGATCAGAGGCCTTGCTGCTGGACGTAGTTTATTATAATTATTATTTTTATTATTTCTATTATTATTATTATTATTTTTATTATTATCATTATTATTATTATTATCATCATTATTTTTATTATTTTTATTATTATTATTATTATTATTTGATTATTATTATTATTATTATTATTTTTATTATCACCATTATTATTATTATTATTATTATTATTTGTGTATGTTATGTTTCCTGCTTTGTATCCTGTAGATCCGGTTCCAAACTATGGTCCTTTAGCCCTATAGGAGAATTGTCATTTAGTTGATTATAATTTTCTTATTATATGGGCAACTTGTATGTTGATGTTACCTGCGACACTGTTAGTAAAATTGTCCATTCCTTTTCTCACGAGGCCCAGTGCTCCGATTACTATTGGTACAGTCTCAGTCTTCATTCCCCAAATCCTGTTAATCTCGATCTCCAGGTCTTTGTATTTGGACAGTTTCTCGATAATTTTCATGGAAGTGTTTCTCTCAGATGCTAATGTTATGTCAATAAGCATAAAATTCTTGAATTTCTTGTCTTTTATGATAATCTCAGGTCTGTTAGCTTTTATTTCTCTGTCAGTTTGCATTGTCATGTCCCAGAGGATAGTTACACCGTTATTTTGGGTAAGTGTGTCAGGTTGGCGGTCACACAATCTCTCAGTGGTTTCGATTTTGTGCTTCTTGCATATCTTCCAGTGCACATATGTCGTTACTTTGTTATGTCTGTCGATATATTCATTTTTGCTACTTCCGGATATTCTGAAATAATACTGTAGTCAGTTTCATCATATTTTTCGCAGATCCTGCATTTCGGGTTAGTTCCATCCTTGATTAAGTGACAATAATAGGATCTGCTTGCGAGGATTTGGTTCTGAGTCGCAGTAATTAGGCCTTATGTCTCAGCTTTCAATCCGCTTCTCTTCAGCCACTGATAAAATGTTTTCTGTTGGTCCCCATCTGCTTCTTTCGTTCTTTTTGGGTATTTGACATGCAAAGTCTTGTCCTCCCAGTCATGTTTCTTATTTCATTTGGCCAAGTTGTTTTACTTTTTGTTTAACTCGTTTGGCGTAAATGGTATTCGATTCGTTTTTTGTTGGTAAGATTTCAGGCATATTAAGCTGTTTCTTGAAGAGGGAAGCTTCTTTGTCGATGGCGTGGATTTGGTGTTTTACTATTTGTAGAAAAGTGGCATTGGTTTTTGGGAATTTCCTTTGATTTCTGTTGTATTCTCATTTCCTGCCGGTTCCCAACTAAAGAAATAATATCAGAAATGACTTCATGACATTTTCCACTGGTCATTTTTGTAAAAGAAAATAAAAATTAAAAAAAAATACAACCTAAGATCACAATCGTTTTATATCGATAATAATTTCTTGGATTTATCATTGAGCATGGAAACACAGCTTATGATATAAAGAAAATGATTTTAGATCGACTGGTGAAAGAGAAATTTCATCCGAAGAAAACTTCAAGAACTTGGTATTACTTTGGATGTGTATGTAACTCAAGTAGTTGCGACCAAAATTTTCTTTAAGTGAAACAGAGATTGGTGTCTAAATCGGTTAATCAAAATAAAGTGCAAAGAAATGAAAATTCCAGTTGAAAAGCGGATTAAAAGAAAGAGAAAGCTACCCAGGGGAAAAGGAAGATGATTTATGTCAAACACTTAGGCAGGAAGTAAAGAGAAATCTTTACGAATGTCATGATCGAATTATAAATGAACTGGAAGCACGATTTGATTCCAAGTCTTATCTGCAAATTGTCTTCGCTGGATTATCATCGCAAGAAATTCTGGAAGATACTGAAGGCGAGTTGAAGCGAATACGATGCTGACTTTATCTAGGCTGCCTTTGGAAGTTCTCCGACTTCGGGATTTTTTAGCGGCAGCTTCCAAAGTGGAACGTGACATGACCATGGTAACCAAATCATCGGCTATCGAATGGCTGAGATGGATTTATTGATGACAAGTTCAAGAAACAGTGCCGAATATTGCGATTGCTCTACGGCTGTTTTTGATGCTCACAGTATTTGTTGCTACTGAAGAGAGAAGCTTCTCAAAATTTAAGCTCATTAAATGTCACTTGAGATCAAGTATGTCACCAGATCGCTTATCCAATTTGTCCTTCATTTTAATTGAACATGAAACTGTAAAAAAGATACACTTTGACAAAGTTATTAGTAACTTTGCTTCTGAAAAAGTTTGAAAGGTTAAAATATGATAATGTTTGTTCAGCTAAATTTTGAATTTGTTGTTTTTCAAGTACTAATCAACGCCATTAAGGGTATTTCATATTGTTCATGATGACGGTCGTCTTTGAGTATAGAATCCAGAGGTTAGCAGTGAATATTTCGAAGACAGTATGAAAGCGTTGTTCAGGTTAGCAGTGGATATTTTGGTAAAAGTAGCAGAGCATAGTTCGTCCTTCTGGTTCTCTTCGCCTGACAAGCTGGACTGGACTGTAGAGTAGACAAAATGGCCGCCTTTATACACGACGGATTGAATGTTCTACGTCTTCTGATTGGTTAACCTTCTATTGGTGGACTATAAAATGAGTCAAGTCATTTGGGTTAATTCACTAGTACATAACATATACACAAAAAACTGCAACATTTCATTTATATTTTTCCTTCAAGAAAAAAAAGCGGGGTGCTATTAGGAATACGGACCCCGAGCGGCACTTTTCTTCAGTACGCCTCTGCCTCTGCATGTCACTGTATTGACCCAAGACAAGTCTTGTGTGGCAGAAGTTACAATAAAAAAAAAACTCCAATCCACAGATAACTCAAAAAAATTTTTAACCGATCATCAGGAGTAAATATTAACAAAGGGTCACTGCTTTTGTAAAGCTTATGACCTCACGAAAATTCACTCCGGCAAAGTAAAAGAATTTTTTTTTAATAAGCATTTCACCCCAAGCAAGGCTGGAAGCCACTAGCACGCAAGGGTTTACATAGGATTTGGAGCGAGAGCAGATAGGAGTGATAGATGAAAGGATGAAGAGAAGGATAGTGGATAGATCAAGGCAACTGGAGATGTCTATTGACGTTACATTAGAATAGTTGGAGATTATAGCTATCAGGGAAACAGGAAAAGGGACGTTCCACAGGCGAGAGGTGCGAGATATGAAGCTATTGGAGTAGAAGAGACGGCTACATTTAACAGTTTCAACAGTGAAAGGGTGAGAGCGGGATGCCAGCCTCGTAGGGCGCCTGAATTCATGAAGCCTGGGAACCAGCGAAAGCAGCTCATCGGAGCAATTACCATGAAAGTATTTGTAAAAAAGACAGAGAGAGGCGACGGCACGTCTGTGAGAGAGCGACTACAGACGAGATGTAAGATCAGGGCTAATTATATTGCATATCCGTCTCTGGATCTTATCAAGAACCCCGAGGCAAACAGAACGGGCTCCAGACCATATATGGCAGCAATACTCATTGTAAGGGCAAAAGGTTGATTTGTATTCTTGTAAAACTAAAATCTTTACCAGTTCGATAAACAATCAGTGACTAACAAATGAAAAAAGGGATCGTTAAATAATAACTGTCCATAAAATGACATTTAAAAATTGATCGGAAATTTTTTCACAAGAAAATGATGCTCATCCTTACCTGTTATGAGAAGTAGTCCCAAATTTATAACGAAAGTAGACGTTGCACTTAAATACATTTTCGGCTGTTCGGGTTTTCAGTTGAGATATTTGTTGTTAACAAATTTGCTTTATATTTTGTTCTACAAACACGCGTGTGTATGCGACTATGTGGGCATGATACGAAATTCTTGAATGTGGTAACAGATATGTTCACATTATTCGACTCAACTCTGACTGGTTTTGGCGGCGAATGAGAAAGCGGGTAGATTCATTTATCAAATTGTTTGACCTTCGGTGGCGATCACAATCAAATTTATCAGACATTGTTCCCTCACTGTGGGTAGGAGTCTTTAATGTGTGTCGCGACTTGACAAGAGGTCATTGAAATATATTTATCTCCAATATTGATGTCTACTTATCGAGCTCTATTCATACTTATTTCTCTAACCATTTAGAATTACCCATATTATCTATCTATATATCTATCCATCTTTTTCTCTGCCTAACGCACCCTCACTCACTCTCTCTCTCTCGCTCTCTCTCTCTATATATATATATATATATATATATATAGAGAGAGAGACGTAGATAATGAACAGACTGAGATAGATATTAAAATACTGTGACAGATAGATAGATAGATTATGAACTGAATGAGATTGATATGAAAAGACTGTGATAGGTAGATAGATAGATAATAGATAGATAGATAGATAGATAGATAGATAGATAGATATGAACAGACTGAAATAGATAGAAAGATAGATAATGAACAGACGGAGATAGATATGAAAGACTGTGATAGATAGATAGATAGATAGATATGAACAGGACTAAGATATATGTATATATGTATATATCTATCTTATGCCATTTCATATATATATATATATATATATATATATATATATATACCTATCTATCGGTCACAGTTTTTTTCATATCTATCTCAGTCTGTTCATAATCTATCTATCACATTCTTTTCATATCTAGCTCAGTTTAGATAGATAGATAGATAGATAGATAGATAGATAGATAGATAGATATGAACAGGACTAATATATATATATATATATATATATATATATATATATATATATATATATAGTCCTGTTCATCTCTATTTATCTACCGGGTGTAACAGCAAAATTGCCCAAATCGTGTAACAGCATAAGCGTCCATCCCACAAAATGTTTATTATCTAAATAACAATAAACTAATCATTCTTTTTTTCTTTACTGAATACTAATTCGTTTTTCAAAAAAAAAATTTAATTGAAGTGAATTTAGTCTACACCGTTTTCGAAATTTTTTTGGGTGGGTGGATATTAGTTCCCTGATATTTTTTTTTTCTGACACATGCAAATATTGGACGTTATTTTGATTCCAGTCTTACAGAGGTGAAGTGTTCGTCTCCCTTGCGAAGTTAATGCTGGTGCATTGTCATAATAGCACTGCCCCACCCGACTCCCTCTGTTTTCGAATTTAAATTCGGACATACTATATGGCCAAAAAGAAAAAAAATGTTACTCCTCACTTAATTTTCCTCTACGAAGCCAGGTGAAAAAGTTTTTTTAAAAAAATGATTTTTTTACAGCAGTTTTGGCTTGTGTAATAACGTATCTTCTTTTTTTTCAAACAATACCATGTTAGTATCAAGCTACTCTAATCTATGAACAATAGTTGACTTATATTTTGCAATGAAAATTCGCGAAAGTAAGGAAATTGGTGAATTTCAGCAAGGGCAAATAATAGGATGGCATCAGTGTGGCGAGTTAAATAGAGAAATTGCTAGGTTTTTCCAGGTTAATCATCAAAGGGTTAATAATATTGTCAAGAAATTTAATGAAGAAGGCCATTGTCATGTGGAACAAATTTCAGGAAGACAAAGTACTGTACCACCCCATAGCCTCGGTTTTCGAATTTAAATTCGGACATACTATATGGCCAAAAAGAAAAAAAATGTTACTCCTCACTTAATTTTCGTCTACGAAGCCACGTGAAAAAGTTTAAAAAAATTGAATTTCCAGGTTTTCAAATAAGACGTTTGGCCATCTTGACACCATTTGTCGTAAGAATCACTGAAAACCCTTCAATATCTATTCAGTAAGAAAGGAAACGGGTTAAAATGGTTTTGTGTCAGTCCCACTGTTTTCTCAACTGAGCAATGGCGAGAGGAAAAAATCATTCAAGCCTTCAGTAATGGTACCAACATTCATAATCTGGCTTCTATTTTCAAAGTCCATTCAAGAACAATGAAGGGAATGGTGAAGAAGTTTAAAAAAGAGGGGACAGTATAGAGGGAAATCTGGACCAGGAGGGCACAACAGGAATAGGGTTCACCATTTCAACTTAGAGCTAAAAAGATCAATTAGAAAAGATCCAACTCAATCCATAAGATATTTGGCACACGAGAGAGGAGTTTCAGCAATAACAGTCCAAAGAGCAGTTTTAAAAGACTTGAAAATGAAATCGTAAGTGAAACATGTGAGGCAACTTATTTACTCCCGGTCAGAAATTTAGAAGTTTAGAGAGAGCGAAGATTATCTTGAATAAGTTTGAAAATGATCCTGGAGTAATATATATATATATATATATATATATATATATATATATATATATATATATATATATATTTGAACTTCATTTCAATACAGTATGAGCTTCCGATCCTTAGCTATGATTAATTAATGATGATTTCGTCCCACTGTTTTCTCAACTGAACAATGGTGAGAGGAAAAAATTATTCAAGCCTTCAGTAATGGTACTAGCATTCATAATCTGGCTTCTATATTCAAAGTCCATTCAAGAACAATCAAGAGAATGATGAATAAGTTTAAAAAAGAGGGAACAGTAGAGAGGAAAGACTGTATCAGGAAGTCACAACAGGAATAGGGATCAACATTTCAACTTAAAGCTAAAAAGATCAATAGAAAAGATCCAACTCAATCCATAAGATATTTGGCACACGAGAGAGGAGTTTCAGCAATAACAGTCCAAAGAGCAGTTTTAAAAGACTTGAAAATGAAATCGTACGTGAGGCAACTTATTACTCCCGGTCAGAAACTTAAAAGGTTAGAAAGGGTGAAGATTATCTTGACTATGCTTAATTAATGATGATTTCGTTTATGATCGATTTCATCATGATACTTCTCTTAAGCTTAGGGAGTAATTATACATTCTTATTGCTCAAAGTAGAGCCCAATAGTGTCATAAAAACCTCGAGGAATTCCAGTAAGATATCTTTAATCATTTCTAAGATACAATGGTTCAAAGATTAATCTAACAATTGGACAATTTTGCTGTTTCACCTGGTATATTATCCCATCTCTTCCTATACACGCCTCGTGCATCCGCTCAGGTCGGATCCCCTTGTCCGGATATCTCAATCCTTGCACGGCTATTAGATAAGAAGAGTTGTACAGCTTCCAGGATAAGTTATAATAATGGTGCCAGAATAAGTCATAGATCGCCCAGTCTGGGTTCTTCGAATGTTGCGACTCTTACTGACGGAGAAAGTCGTCTTAATTCTTTTTGTCAATAAGCTCGCTCTTGCATGGAGTATTGCTGCCAAATATGGTCTGGGGCACCTTCTGTTGACCTCGGAGTTCTTGACAAGATCCAGAGGCGGATATATAATATAATTAACCCTGATCTGGCATCTCGTCTACAGTTGCTCTCTCACAGACGCGCCGTCGCCTCTCTCTGTCTTTTTTACAAATACTTTCATGGTAATTGCTCCGATGAGCTGCTTTCGCTGGTTCCCAGACTTCATGAATTCAAGCGCCCTACGAGGCTGGCATCCCGCTCTCATCCTTTCACTGTAGAAACTTTTAAATGTAGCCGTCTCTTCTACTCCAATAGTTTCATACCTCGCACCTCTCGCCTGTGGAACACCCTTCTCAATTACTGTTTCCCTGAGAGCTATAATCTTCAAATATTCAAATGTAATGTCAATCGACATCTCCAGTTACCTTGATCTATCCACTATCCTTCTCCTCATCCTTTCTTCTATCACTCCTATCTGCTCTAGCTCCAAATCTTCTGCAACCCCCTGCATCCTAGTGGCTTCACGCCTTGCTCGGGACGTAATGCTTTAAAAAAAAAAGCTGTGATATTATTCTTCTTGACGACTGGGTTGACTAGAAATAAGGCCAAGCTCTCACCGAAGAAATAGTGATGACAGTTTTGGCTAAACATAGACGATTCAATGAAGGGGAATAAAATAAATTACAATCGGATATATTTGTCATCTATTAACACAAAAGATCAGAAGGCGGCAACTTGAAATCTCGGTCTATGTGTTCAACAAGGTTCAACCAGAAATTTAAGTGAATATTGGGCCGGCCCTTTCTCGTGCGGGTGTGCAACTGAGTGTGTGTCTCCAGACTCGTCTCTCTCGCGTCCCAGCCCGTCTCTGCCCTATCCTCAAAATCGAGATAAACATAATTCTCCTCTCACGTACCAAACTGTTCACACACCAAAATAATTCACTTTTCCATTGGTTAAAGTCAGGGTTAAAAGACAAAATCCTATGTTTTTATTTTACACCATTTCACTCAGAGCCTTTGCTACCAAACCCAAAACATATTCGGCTAACATATCCGATGGAAACGAAATCAAAAACATATTCTCTCACCTGTGCAATTCGAAGTTAAACCTTGCCTCTCGACAAATATTCCTGCCTGGGACAATTAATAAGGCTATGATAAGTTTTTAGCCACCATTAATTACAGCAATTTTGGCTTGTGTAATAACGTATGTCCTTTTTTTCACACAATACCGTGTTAATATCAAGCTATGAACGATAGCTGACATATTTTGCAATGAAAGTTCGCGAAAGTAAGGAAATTGGAGAATTGTGGCAAGTCAAATAGAGAAATTGCAAGGTTTTTCCGGGTTAATCATCAAACGGTTAATAATATTGTCAAGAAATTTAATGAAAGGCAATTGTCTTGGGGGACAATGTTCAGGAAGACCAAGCATCGTGGATGAGTTAACGAAAAGGGCGCTGAATAGGGAAGTCATCAAAAACCATTGCCAGGGCGTCAAAGATGTCGCCAGCAGCATGGAAATGTCGTCATATGCGGTGAGAAAGACTCTGAAAGAGCTAGGCTATCAAAGAAGAGTTGCAAGAAAGAAGCCCTTGATTTCAGAGTTTAACAGGAACAGGCGTATGGACTGGGCGAGAGAATTCGAGAGCAAATATTATGAATTTTGGCAGTCTGTAATTTGATCAGATGAAAGTAAATTCTGCCAATATTCGAATTCGAGATAGGTTTATGTTTGGAGAAATCAGAATGAGATTTGAAACACTGAATGTCAGCAGGCGACCGTGAAACATGGAAGGATTTGAATAATGGTGTGGGACGATGTTTGGTTTTGATGGAAATCTGAGCTGATTCTTGTTTAATGGTCCAAAATACTGTCAGATATTAGAGAAGGGACTGTTCCCACTATTTAAAACCAATCAGATTCACAAGAATGTCTACCTTTTTCAAGATTATGGAGCGCCATGTCATACAAGCAAAGTAGCAAAGACCTGGAAGGAATCGCAAGGAACCAAGTCACTGCCATGGGTAGCCCAAAATCCTGACATGAATCCAATAGAGCAGGTTTGGGAGCACCTTCACCGAAAACTTCGAGAGCATGCAACCAAAATCACATCAGTGGCAACCCTTAAAGAAACATTGTTAAAGGAGTGACAAAATATGGATCAGACGATTGTTGATAAGTTGATCAAATCCATGAAAAATCAAATACAAGCACTGAGAACTAGCAAATGGAGGACCTACTCCATACTAGTTCCAAATACTGTTTATTTATGTTGAGTTGGGATTACGTAATTTAATTTTGAAATTGGATGTAGTTTATTTCTCCTGACTAAAAAATTTTCTTAGGCCATTGTAGAATAACACACGCCAATCCATTTTAAATCATCGCCTTGAAATTTAGAAACTGCAGTATCTGCCAATAACAAGTTATTTTTTCATATCTATCTATCTATCTATCTATCTATCTATCTATCTATCTATCTATCACAGTCTTTTCATATCTATCTCAGTTTGGTCATAATCTATCTATCTATCTATCTATCTATCTATCTATCAGTTTTTTCATATCTATCTCAGTTTTCATTATCTATCTATCTAAATAAAAAAGTTTTATCGTCAAAATCTTTATTATTATTAAGAGGAAATACCAAATGATTTTATCATTATTACATTTTTTAAAATCCTTTTTAGAATGTTAGAAATTCTAGTTAGAAATCTTGTTTTTTTGCGTTAATGTATGAAGGTGGGGTTCATGAATTATTATAGGACGTTTCAGCGCCTTTGATTTGGAAATTCTTGTAAAAATAGATAATTGTCGGATTTTAATAAAACTTTTAGGACTTAGTCACAAATAGATGAAATTATTTTGGAAACGTTGTTTTTAGAAAATCTTTATAAAAAAAAACATTATTTTACATCCCACTTATTTAATTTTATGAAATTTCGAGAACTTGAATCTTATAGAGCTTATCTTAATGTTTATATTAGTTAAAAGCAGAAATTTCCTCCCCCCACCCCGCATACCCATACTTTGCTCTCACTTTCACTCTCTGTAACCCTCTGCGTACTAGTGGCACTCCTGCCTTGCTTCGGGGGAAATGCTTAAAAAAAGAATCTATTTAGATATATACCTCTACTAATTTGCTGAAAGAAATTTGCTGAAAAAATGCCCCAAACGTCATAAAACAGTTTTATTAACAAAATTTTTATTTTTAAGAGGAAAGATCAAAGTATTTTTTATTTAATTATATTTTTTTAATTCTTTTTAGCCTTGTTAGACATTTTAGTATAGGAAATGTTAGTGTTTATTTTGCGGTAAAAAACAAATTGATTTCAAAATTCTTGTAAAAATCAACTAATTGTCTGATTTTAATGACTTTCGGGACTTATCCATAAAGTAACGAAATTATTTTAGAATTTTTTTTAATATGTTACCCATTACTTAATTTTATGAAATTTTGAGAAATTAAATGTTCACCCACTTAATATTAGTTAAAAGCAGAACTACTTGGAGAATTTAAATCATGAATTTTAAAAAGAAAATTTTTTTTGTAAAGTGTAAACCTCATTTATTGAATATCCTCTGCATCATAAAATAAAAGATGCAATAAAACTGGCATTATTTAATTAGAAAAGTTTTTAATTGCTTTTAGAAATAAGATATTAAGGACACTATTGTCTTAAGAAAAATTCTTTTTGATGAATAATGAATTCTTACAAGAATTGCTTTCCTCTTTTTCTCTTAAATTTTAATTACAATAATTTAAGTTTTAAATTTTAAAATTCTGTATTAATTTCACCCTTTTTTATACGTGTTACAGAGTAGTTTCACAGTGGAGGCTAGTATTTCACTAAGTCGGTCCAGAAAGGTCCGACGTACAAAACGTTAGGAACTTGTTATAATAGTTAATGACGCAGCAATCTAGTTGTGGTGGTTGATACTTTAATGTCCGACATCGACTGACTCACCAACTCTCTGAGACCCCTGGCGACTGCTACTACTACTACTTATTATAGGTGGGAGTGTCTATTAATATTAGAATAGGTATGTTCCAGTATAACAATATGATATTAAGTAAAAGGTATATATACTAATCATGAATTGAAATTCTTAGTACAATTTATCAAACAGCAATATTTTTAAAAGAATTTTTAATTTGTTTTGTATGTATATAAACATGCTGATTATTTGTAGCTATGGATGTTTCTACATATTTCGAGAAAATGAATCCTATAGAGCCTAAAGATTTATATTAGTTAAAAGGAGAATTCCTGGGAGAATTTAAATCATTAAATTCCTTTTTGTAAAACTGTTACAGTTTTTTGTGTATATTATGCAACTAGTGAGTTAGTGAAATTGACTTAACTCCCTTTATAGTCCACCAATAGAAGGTTAACCAATCAGAAGACGCAGAACATTCAATTCGTCGTGTATAAAGGCGGCCATTTTTGTTTATCCTACCCGAATGACCAGTGCCAACTTGTCAGGCGAAGATGACAGAAGGAAGAACTACGCTCTGCTACTTTGCTGCGATATCCACTGCTAACCTGAACTACGCTTTCCTACTGTCTCCGAAATATTCACTGCTAACCTCTGGATTCTATACTCGAAGACAACCGTCATGAATTTATAACAAAAACAGTTACCCAAAATCTGTTTTGAATCGTAAATAAAAAATGCGATAAAACTAATACAGTATTTAATTAGAGGAGTTTGTAATTGCTTTGATGAATAAGACATATATTATGAACACCATTGTCTTTAGAGAAAAAAATTCGATAAATAATGAATTTTTACA